CTGTTCTTATCCAAAACAAAGCAGGAGACCGGGGGTTGCGCACCAAAACAGTAGCGCGGTGATGCGGGCCTACTCTAGATCTAGTGATTCTCTACCTTCACTTCACTCACATTCGGCTCTGGAGGACTTCCGTAACGAGCGACCACTATGAGACACAGCAGAATTGAGGGCTTGGGGTAGGGGTAGGGGTAAGGGTAGGGTTGGGGTTAGGGGTAGGGGTAGGGTTAAGGTTAGGGATAGGGTTAGGCCTAGGCCTCTCCTTTATTGTGTTTGATGGGGTGGTCGCTCGTTACGGAAGTCCTTCCCTCGGCTCGCTACAATTTCGCCTGCCAACCAACTCTTGACGAGGCAAGGCTCTTTCTCGCAGTTTTGCATTTGACGAAGTCTTATCACGCCGTTATTTAAACATGTATAGATCTAAACATTTATTTCAAAGGTAGATCTATTGTTTGGCAATGTGTGAAAGGTAAACGAAAAATATTTACGTGTTCTGCTCCTTCTCAATGTGATGTTGTCTTGCAATCTTTCCAGTGATCTTACAACTGTGCCGGTAGGCTTATGGATAGATTCTATGATTCTATCACGAACTGAGCGAACACGATGTATCCAGATAAATACTCCCTTTGTTCTTTCTGATAGGCTAGTTAAAAAGAAGAATTAGTCATCGGTCCGTTTCTAACTATCTGGTGAAAAGTACTAGATCTAAATCAGGTGCCTGAATTACTTGGATCTATTAATTAAACACCGAAAAATTGCTTTGTGTCATGTTCTTAGGATTGTGATTACTATATATTGTGCATCGGGCACAAAAGGTTTGTATAATAATATAACATTAGCTTGACATTCATATAAAATCTGGAGTAATAAAACTTGTATTTGTAACTTCTAAGCAAAAGATTCACACTTTTCTGGAGGTTCAACCATAGATTCAATATATGTATTTCAGTAACCTGGATCGTTCTCTTATTTTACCGGAAGCTAGAACGAGTGACGAGTAGAAATGTCCGGAAGTATATACTGTGAAAGGCAAGATAAGGCGATGCAGAAGTAATAGTATACATGTTGTGCGGTAAAAAATTCGTGGCGCAACTTATCCTCAAATATCTCTTCAAAGGGTTAATCAGTGTCACCCATACTTTGCAGATCAGTTTGTTTCAATTTGTCTTAATTTAATCACATTTCTCCACTACAACTGAAGCTCGATTAAAAAACTTTTCTTCATAAATTTATATAAAATACTATAAATCTCCATCATGCGGAAAAGATGATTGTTCACAGCACTTTCCGCTTCTCGAACATATTTTGCATACGCATTGGCCTACGTCACAGCTCGCCAATGACACATTTTAGTGGCAAAACTTCTTACAAGAAATGTATTTTATGGTGAACACATTTTTGCTTTCATCATCATCCGGTGCCTTGCCGACTGGCGTGGGCGACCATGGACCTCCACTTCACCCTGTCCTTCGCTGCAGCAATGGTGTCTGTTGTTCTTGCTGCTCCCAACCATGTTGTCATCTTGTCCAGTATCTTTTCCCTCTGTCTGCCTCTGCCTCTCTTTCCATCAAACTTTCCTGTTGTGACAATATTCTCTAATGCTTCTTTCCGCATTGTGTGTCCGAAGAAATTTGCCTGTCGTTTTCATATATTCGTGATAAGTTGTTTTCTATAATTTGCTTCAACCAGGACTTCTTCATTTGTTTTTCTAGCTGTCCATGGGATACGTAACATGCGTCTTATGAACCACAACTCTGTCGCTACAATTGTTCTTTCCAGCTGTTTATTGATTGTCCACGCTTCGCACCCGTATAATAGGACTGGCTCGATGTAACTTTTCAGTACTCTTTTCCTCATTTCCAGTGACAGATTGATGTTTGTTAGTATCTGTTTCATCTTGTGGAAAGTTGTTTTTGCCTGGCAAATGCAGCTTTTAATTTCGGTGTGACATCTACCATCTGATGATATAATGATCCCCAAATATTTAAAATGTTGTACTTGCTTGAGGGTGGTATCGTTAACTTTGATATTGCATGTTGGGATTGGAGTTTTTCTGCTTATCACCATCGTTTCGGTTTTCTTGATGTTTAGGCTTAAGCCCATGTTGTCACTCTCTTGTACGATGACATTTAATAGATTCTGCAGGTGTTCTTCATCTTCTGCTATAAGGACTGTGTCATCTGCATATCTTAGATTGTTTATATTATGTCCCCCTATCGAGATACCAGGCATTTCTTCTATGTGTCTCATGATATTTTCACTATACAGGGAGAACAAGTCTGGAGAAAGTACACGTCCCTGCCTGACTCCTCTTTTAATCTGTATGTATTCGCTGATGTCATTTTCTATTCTCATTGCAGCAGTTTGATCCCAGTACATGTTTTTGATATCCTTATAAGTCTTTCCCGTCGATGTTAATAACTTCCAGCATGTCGATGATCTTGTCGTGCCTAACTTTGTCGAATGCCTTGGTGTAGTCTATAAAACATAAATGAAGATCTTTCTGAGCTTCTAGGGCACGTTCTATCGTTGTTCTGATGACATATGTGGCATTTACAGTGCCTTTACCTTCAATAAATCCACACTGTTCTTGGGCTATTTCTGGGAGAATTTTACTTCGTATTCTCATCATAATTATTCTGAGTAATATTTTTGTTATGTGGCTCATGAGGCTGATGGTACGATGCATTTCACATTCGTTTGCATTAGATTTCTTCGGTAAAGCTATGAAGATAGATTTTGACAAGTCTGATGGAATATGTCCAGTTGCATATATGTTGTTAAGAAGTTTTGTCAGCGTGGTGATTCCAAAGTCTTCTAAAGCTTTAATCATCTATGTGGTAATGTTGTCCGGTCCTGCAGCTTTCCCATTCTTCATCTTTCGTAGTGCCTTGATAACTTCTTCTTTCATGATTGGTGGTCCCTCGTTGTTATTTTCCACTCTTCTTTGTTCATCTCTTTTGTCATTGTACAGGTCACCGATATATTCTGTCCAACGTTCTGGTATCTTGTCTTTGTCCATTATGATATTCCCATCTTTTGATTTGAGGCATTCTGTTGATCCACGTGTTCTTGTATGGCACACCTCTTTAATTTTTCTGTGTAGATCTTTTGAGTTCGCATTGGAATGATTTTCCATTTCCTCACATTCTTCTTTTAACCAGGTCTCTTTTGCTAGATTACATTTGTGTCTGATTTCATATTGTTTTTGCTTGTTCTTCGTTCCTCCATAAGATTAAGAATTTCTTCAGTCATCCATTTCTTCTTTGCTTTTGTTGTCCTTTCTGGTATGACGTCTTTTGCAGCCTCATTTATAGATGTTTTAAGCTGTTCCCATTGTTTTTCTAAGTCTTGTATTTTTTCTAAGGGCCCGAATTTGTTTTGTACATTTATTCTGAATTTACCTTGCATTTCTTTGTTTGACTGTAGTAATGCCATGTTTAGTTTCATATTCTTGTTCTTGCTCATGTGTGGGTTTTTTTCAATCTGATTCTAAATTTTCCCGCTACGGGTAGGCCCTACATGGTCACTGTAACAGTCTGCACCTGGCCGCGTTTTGACATTTAACATCCCGTTTTTGTATCTTTTCTTGATCATGATATTATAGTCGATCTGGTTGCGAGCGCTGTCTCCAGGACTTTTTCAGGTCCATAATCTTCTTGGTGGTTGTTCATACCAAGTGTTTCCAATAATCATGTCATTCAGGATGGCCCATTCTATCAGTTTTTCTCCTCTTTCATTTCTGGTTCCCAGTCCATATGGACCCATATGTCTTCATGTCTTGTTGCTCCCACTTTTGCATTAAGATCACCCATGACTGTGACAATATTTTGTGATTTACAATGTGTCTTTGCTCTAGGTTCCCTAAAAAAAATATATATACATGTATATATATACGTTTAATAAGCATATGTGCCGATTAGAAAAAAATGACAGTCTTGCTTTTAAAAGCGATATTTCCCGAGTTGTAAACTTTGTAAAATCTATTATATAGAAACCATCGTCTGGGATTTTTTATTAGTATTTATTAAGGAAATTTGTAGAATACAGTGTGCAGGAGTTTGGAAAAATATTAACCTTTTAAGACAAATTGATATAAATCATTGTGAAAAAAGTTGGAGAATCTATGTTCGATAGTTTATGAGATACATGTATTTGAAAATAAGTTACGCCACGCATTTTTAACTGCACTATAGTTAGTAAGGCAAGGGCGACCCCTGAGATCCTTGATAAACAACTCAAAATTCAATCATTTCAAGGGTAGGCTACTCCTATATGTCCAAACAATGGAAAGTTTTGTTTGTTTGTTTTTTAATTACCGAAACATTTAAAAGATTATAACCTTTTATAGTCTTAGATTCACACCTGCAAAAACTAAGGCCGGTCCCAGAGTGGCTCTGTAGGTCTGACCTGTAGCTTGCCTGGCGCACGCCGTGTGCGTTGTTAGCACAGCCGCCAGAGCTGGTAGTAACGGAGTACAAGTACTCCGGTACTTGTACTTACGTTACAATTTTACTGTACTCCGGTACATTTTTGAAACCAGTACTTTTACTGTACTCCGATACTTTTTTATCAAAGTACCTTTGAGTACTTTTTAAGTACATTTTGAGTACTTTGGTAGCTTAATGAAAGGGTAAGTGCAGACATTTCTGATCATAATTTACGGAGCAAAAACCCGATCAACCGCCAAGAGTTAAAAGTTGAGATTAAAGAACGGCCCGTCGCCTCAAAGATCAGCCACTATCGTGAATGTGATCACAAGCGTTGTAAAAACTCCTTGAAACGGTACAGTGTTTGCTCCAGACGGGATTACACCAAGGTGTGAACTGACCGATGCGTTTCTTTTCCCAAACATCGCACTCACATCTGAGCTCACCACCTAAACTTACATCACTCCCTGGGTGGGTAGGGCCTACAAGTTCCCTCCAGGAGGGATCACATCAAACTGTGAACTCTTCCCTGACCATTGAAAGCAGTTTTTCCCGAATTTGCGAGACAACCTGAATTTTAATTAGTGTGGTCACATCGTATTGGTGCGTAATGACAAAGGAGGTTTGGGGGGGGGGGGGGGGGGACTCAATCAGAGATGGAAAGCTGAAATTGTTGGACAGGTAAAGGGGAGGGGCAACTGGATAAACGTAGATAAAGATCTCAAGACTCATGATAGGCTAATGAGTGTGTAATAATATTATTTATGGCATGCCTCATGCCACTGTGATTGGCAATCAAGGTTGACCACTCTTTGCTTGCCATATGTCATAAATCCACCCAGGGGTCACGTCAGTTCATGGGTCACTGTAGATTCTTCCTTGGCTTCGTTGGCTAAGATCCCATATTTTCCTTGCTTCCGAGCACTGGGGTCTTAGGCGGAGACTACTGCAGTAGAGAATCTTTGGTTACACTACACTTACTAGACTCTAGGAAACTATTGTATTTTGGTTTGCCGTTGGCGCCGTGGACTACACAGTGTGACCAAAATCTGTCAGACCACTATAATCAATTGAAACTGAAATTGTGTTCTCAATGTGTATCTAACAATTTTTAGGCTGCCTAAATTTCTTTTAAACTTTTTTGGGGTGATTTTTGCTTAAGGCTACATTGATTCTTTGAGGATTTGTTAATGAAGAATTCAATGCACTTTTCCATTTCTATGCGGGCCATTTTCATCAATTTTATGTTTTCTTAAGAGCAACTTTGTATCTACATTTTTCAATTTGGATACTCTTTCTGTAGAACTTTCCGACCTCTAGGACTGACTTACATTTGATCACATTGTCTTGCTCAAACAAGTTCTATTCATAATATCACTTACCCACTAGTTGCGTCTGTTCGTTTGGGTTGTTTTTTGTTCAACTTCACGGACCATTCCCACCGTTCAGTGCGTTCATTGTATATTCAAATGCTTTGTATACTGTTTACATTTTTAGTAATAAATAGCCTAATTTGTCAAATATACTGGATAAGTTATAAAATATGGTGTTTTGCATAAGCGCTGAAGTGTTTTAGCATATTAGCGGAAAGTACTCAAAATGTACTCATAAGTACTTTTTTAAAAAGTACTTGTACTCAAGTACATTTTATAGGAAAGTACTTTTACTGTACTTAAGTACATTTTTAGATTGTACTTAAATTTGTACTTAAGTACTTTTTAAAAAGTACTTTAACAGCTCTGACAGCCGCACTGTGGGTTGGGGCCTGTGTCTCAGCGAGCGTGAGGCACACTCGCTTTCGTCTCAGCACAGCCGCGCTGTGTGTTGACCTGTGTAGGCGTGCAACTGACGGGCTGACGGGTCTGCCTTGCTATTTTTAGTTTTAGGTACAGTGTAATCCAAGACCAATTATACCAAGACGTCATGTGCCAAGTGCAGCCCCCCACACACACAAACACACTTGCAGCGGCGCACAGCAATAGTTTACATTGGTAATGCAAGGCTAGATCTAGATCTAGATCTAGAATCTAGATCTAGAGAAGCACACCTAGATCTAGGCCTTCGACAACAGTTGAAACTAGGTCAACCTCTCGATTCGAAGTTTCAAAGTACGATAAAGTGCATTTCTGGGTGATTTTGTGGCCAAGTATTGATGCTAGCGTCAATATTTAATAGTAAAGCACCTAATAATACTTACTTCTTGTTGATTTTGATGATCTGTGAAGAGTTTCAGTCGAAAATAAACACGAAGCAAGGCGACACATGTCCGCCATTTTTACAACACTGTTGAATAGCACGTCTGACGCATCGCGCAGCTCAGCTGACAAAAAACACACGACACAGCGACGCTGCTTAAGCACACGATAATGTATACATTCATTTGCACGGTGCGAGCCAGGCGAGCTACAGGTCAGACCTACAGGGCCACTCTGGGACCGGCCTAAGAGAAAACTATATGGATCGTGAAGAATTATGCAGGGACTTTATTTTTCATTGCACTTAACCTTGTTACCAATTATTGTTGCGAAGTTTTCGTACGTGTTGTGGTGCTGTTGTTTTTTTTTTTCAGATAGTGTATACCCAACGTGTTTTATTACTTTTACTTTTACTCCATTTTTTTTTTCAACGCCTGTTGCCGTTGAGCGTTGAAGGGAAATGCTGTTTTCTATGGTAGGCCAACTCAGCTCTTTCACTACTTTCAGTTAAAATTTTGTTGTTTCTCGGGGTTCCTTGACTCCCAGTCCATCTTTTGCTTGGCGTCTACCTTGCCCTGTGTATCGAGCGTACTTGGTGTTATATATTATACTAGTCTTTCGAGGCTAGCTGACAAGGTTGGATATATATATATATATATATATATATATATATATATATATATATATATATATATATATATATATATATATATATATATATATATATATATATATATATATATATATCTTAATTTCTCTGTCTCTTCTTGTAATACTTATAATATATTTTGGTGGGGACATTTTCCTTTCGCATGGCAGTAATTTTGCTTTCATAGGTTTTACTAACACAACAATGTCCGATCATATTAAAATCAAACGTTCTTCTCTCCATTGCACTTCTAAGTTCTCAGAACACTGTTCTAAGTGTGGAACTGTGTCAAATGTTAAAAAATTAGAGTCTCTAGGTAGGTGGGAAATAAAGGGGAGGGGGGCGTAACGTATTGCTTTAGACCCAGACACTGACAGCCGAACGAACGTTGTTATATAGATCTAATATTTAACTTTAACTGGGCATATAACCTCATCGCCATCCGGAAAAGGTAACTCTGGGAAGTAGGTGACGTGAATAGAACGCCAAACAGAACCACGGCTTGCTTAAAATTCAACAGGCATAAAACGTTAGAACTGGTTATTGAATGATAAATGTCACGGATGAAATTATATAAAATAATTTGGATTCGTACTGCAGACGTTCCCTTCCTTTGTAAGTAAAGGCCAATTGGATCCGATCCCTGTTAAATCAGAAATGCAAGGAAAGTAAGCATTTATGAACTAATCCAGCTGTACTTATTCATGGGTAGTTTCCCTTGCTACAAGTACCCACGAACAGGGGTTTTGGCACCCACTTTCTCCTTGTCTCCTTAAACCACATCAGAAGAGCTTGGTCAACAGCATCTGCATTGGGTAGTCTCGTCAACAGCCTGGGTTATTTCGTATATTTTTTCAATTGAAAGGCATTTTCTCTTGCGCTTGACATAGTTGGTGGCCATAATGAAAGAAGTAGGCTTAGATCAACACGTCTCTCTCTCTCTCTCTCTCTCTCCCTCTCTCTCTCTCACTCTCACTCTCTCACTCTCTCTCTCTCTCTCTCTCTCTCTCTCTCTCTCTCTCTCTCTCTTACTTTTTACACATTGTTAACGAGCCTTTGTCCCTGCTATAACCGATTGGGCTCCGATGAGGCCCTGTTATTGCCGATAACTTTTAATAAAGACAAAGAGTAGAAAAAATGGGGATTTAATAGATCCCTGTTATTACCGGATCCTTGTTATTACCGGACCCTTGTTATTATCGGGCCTGTTATATATTGTTTCCACTGTATATTATAGGCTAATGAACCCCTATTGTCTCTTTGAGCGCCTTCAAATGGGCAGTGTTTTTTTAACGCTGATAAATAGCATACATTTTATTTAGGCCTACTTGACAGTAAATGGAAATTATCATGAGCAATCAATACAGTAGTCGACAAAAGTGACTGGTGCCGCTAGTCTTGTCCAGTGAAAGAATTAATGCCCCTGGTTTTACTTGATGTCCAAGTCGGATTTAAATCGATAGCATATTTATGATAATTCGTACGGTTGGTATAAACATTAAAGTGATATCAGCGGTCTCTGTATCCATAGTATTCATGTATTTTGATACTGTAAAAGGGATGCAATCTGGTATAACGTACTAGTACCAAGAAGATGGTGTTAGTCACATGTCATAGAGTTTTTTTTAGTCTGTGACTTGTTTCTTTGAGTCTGTTTATATTATAGTGGCGTCCAAAAGAAACTTGAAAATGTAATCACCTAATCATCGTGTTATAACCTTGTAGGCATACTACCCGCGCATGCAGCATACCAAACTCCAGCTTGGCAAAATTGTGCGAAATCAGAGAAACGTAAAAGTGTGTTCGTTCGTATATTGAGTTCCATCAACATTGGTTGAATGGACTTGTACTGAATATCGAATGAAAAGAGAATATTATTGCTATTGTCTCTACAATGAACAGTATCTCTATGATATTTTCAAACTGATTGAAAAACAGAGCTGTTACAAATACCACACAAAAACAGGACTTAACTGTTACACTATATAACGTGTTCATTAGTATTTTCTTATTGTTAAGGAGTTGGTTTCGTATCGAGCACGAAACATATTATTGCACTAGGACTGTACTGTATTTGGATTTTGGACTTCATGCATTTATTCTGTCAGTGAGGAACACAGGCAACGAAACTACCATGGTTTTGGTGGCCTGGGGTGGAATGAACAAAATCGCCCTCGTGTGAATCACTGCATGGTTTGGTTTAGTAGACTACATCTTGCAATTGTGAAACGTAATGTCTTACACTTATTTTCGCCTTAGTGCCATTGAAGTAGACATCTCTACGCATAGCAAAGCACTTTCTCACAGGGTCAATGCCACTAGACAATTCTTTGAAAACCAAATAAAATCAATGTCGGGGTGGTCGCCAGTAATTTATAGCCCGGATATGGATCCTAAAGGTAGCCTATAATGTGAAGTCACGGGAAACAGCAGGTATTATGTCATTTAAAAGCGAAGTTTGTGTTTCAAACAATGGTTATTAATATTGCACCTCTACTGCCTACCAAGAGCCGAGCGACACTTCGGTTTCTCTCCATCTTTGGCCTAACTCTATGGTTGACCAATCTTTTTGCCTATTTGGCCAAGATCAACGGTGTGCCACGGCCAGGTTTCATCGGCGAGCTGAATTGAATGATGTTGACTAGCCTATTGAAGGCTATTGTTGACTGGACTGGCAGACTGCTTCTCTGACTCTGGAGTAAGCTTACTCTGGAGACTGTTGTTGATTGTTGACATCGTGATGATTACACGCGTGTAGTGACGAGTGTGGAGTAGGCTTGGTCATTCTATTCATCGCTGAACATATTTTCGCCTTCATGACCAGTTGATTAGATTCTAGAATCTATCCCTTGGAATTTCTCAAGGAAATAATTTTCACACTGTTGCTTGATAGGTATGGCAGGAGGAAAGCGTGACAAAAAAGACAAAGGTAATTTGTAGACGTAAAACTACTTTTAAAAACTTGCCAAGTTTGCTTTTTCGGTAAGATTGAAGAATACCGGACCAGCGGGGAAGATTGAAGAATACCGGACCACTCGTACATTATTGCGCGAGAAAGTGGGGTAGGTGGGGCGGGTGGTTGGGGTGGGGGAGGGGGGGGGGGTTCAGGGGGGGTCTTTCCCCCAACAAAATTTTAATGAATAGATCTCTACCGGTACGAGATTCTCCATTGAAAGATTAAAAACTGGGGAAAATCATGAATTCCTAAGGTTGAGACATAGGCAAAGTTAGTCCGCTGGTCCGGTATTCTTCAATCTTACCAAAACTGTCGCAAACAAGATGTAGGCATTTAGATCTAGATAGATCTAGATCTAGATTCTAGATTCTATATATACTCTAGATCTAGCTATCTATTATTTTTGTGACTTTAGCAGGGCTCCCTGCTGCAACCCCCTATCAATAATCTATGTACACCTCCCCCCCCCCCCCTCTACGGGAGTAGATCTCTAGTGGTGGTCTGCTAAAGTTCAAAGAGGCCCCCTAGGATCTAGAAGAAGAAGCAACGGGAAAGTATTCGGACTTGAGTATTATAGTAGTATAGACCTCGCTTACGGTACAACCCGTGATTGCGCTCGCGCTCTGGAATTTGAGTCCGAATAGCCTCCAGCGGCTGTTCGGACTCATAGCCACTTCGAATCTGCAATCTTTCAACGAAGTGACTATTTCTCAGAATGCTCGGGAAAATCAACTTCAAGACCTCTTTTTCTCCAAACAGTTTCCTTTCTCGAGATTTTTTGGTTATTTGCGAGAGTTTGGCATCATCTTTCATTCTGCCATTCTGCGAGGACTGGGAAGAAGCATTTTTGCCTCAGATTCAATTTCTAAAGCTAGAGATTTTTAGATGTCTGAATATTCCGAAACTTCAATTGTGGTTGAGGCAACGTTCCAGGCTATTATACTTCATTTGAAAAAATGCCTTCAAAAGAAAGGTACTGCGAGGAAACAAGACTGCTCGACTTTGGCAGTCTTATTTTGCATATTTAGCCACTCCAAAGCAAAAAATAAAAAAATAAAAAATTCCCGCCTGTTCACACCTTACACAACATACGCGCACACACACACTCGCACACACACACTCACACACATGCGCACACATGGGCCACTCCATTCGCAAATCACCCAAAAAAATCTCGAGAATGGAAACCATTCGAAGAAATAAGGTAGTTCAAGTTTATTTTCCCGAGCGTTCGGAGAAATAGAGCCAGCCATCTTTCAATTTAGAATGTTTTATTATGTCTAGAATATTTATCTAGGTATCTAGATCTAGATCTACTCTCTAATCCAGGGCCAGGGTTAGGAGGGTTAGCCCTAATAAGCCTACATCAGGACCTAGATCTACCCTAACCCAACTCAAACTGGTAGGATAGCCCACCCTAGAACTATAACCCTTTACACTTACACTTAGTAGGCCTACACTACTTGAGGCTACTTTTATTTTAAAATGGCTTTTTTCGTCTCAATGCAGATGGTCAATTTGTCTTAAAAGATGGTCTCAATAAGAAAAGGTTGTTTTCATGGATATATCATTCATGGCTACTACTACTACTTTTCACCCACGCAGTGCGCAGAGCGCGCAACACTTTTATCCCTACGGACGAGGGGATACAGGTGTGCACATGCTAGAACACTGTCGCCGATTGGTGTCCCTGTTGGTTCATAGTGTTTTAAATTCAATTTAATAGTGTAAGTGTATCTACTACGAGGCTTCTTGAAACAGTCGACCTGTTCAAGTACCTTGGTGCTATCATCAGCCAAAAAGGGTCCAAGCCAGAAGTCCATGCAAGAATTGCATAACAAACAACATTGAACAGGGGCACTTACTATTCTAAAGCTAAAACCAATATATAATGGAAAGAAACAATTCCAAAGTCGGACCACTCTATACTCTCTCTTACCCTCGTCATCTCCATCCTTCTGTATGCTTGTGAATCATGGACCTTGATGGCAGAGCTTCAGAGGAAGATCCAAGCAGCTGAAATGAGATGCTTTTGAGGACTCTTTGACATCTCATACAATGGCCATGTCACAAATGAGGAAGTGCGCAGTAGAGTGAAACAACACACATAATATAGAGCCACTTTTTAGACTTTCTGTTTTCTGTGAAGTGAAGAAAACTGATTTGGTATGGCCATGTAACAAGATCTTGTGGCGTATCCAATACCATTTTCTAGTGAACTGTGCAGGGGAGGAGAAGGAGAGGAAGGCAAAGGAAGAGGTAGACCGACAACATTGTGGAGTGGACAGGGAAATCCTCTGCCCAAACTCAGGCCCTCACAAAGAAAAACATGAAAAGTGGAGGCACCTGAGGAGGCTCTCTATCATACAGCGCCCCTACGATCCTTGTGGATTATGGGTTTAGTTTAAACAGTTTTTAAAAAAAACTACTATCATGCCACAGGCTTACACTCAAATCCTGCAAATGTAATAATGATAAAATGATACAAACTGGAAGACAGTAGGTCTTCTAAATTATTTTCAATGAAAGTGATGGTGGTCTATTCTGGACACCTTTTTTTCCTGTGTCAGATGGTTGGGCAAGCACATTTTTTAAAGTCTTGGAAAGCAGTTTTGCTTGTAATCCTTTAATAGTAGATGTATTGTAATTTAAGTGATGTGTGTGTAAGTTATTGTTTGCATTTACTTTTTCAACAGAGGAAAGAAAGTCCAAGAAGGCTAAATATGATGCAGAGGTCTACGAAGATGATGATGACGTAGATGTTGACAATGCTAAAGGTTTGCAAATTTGGTATCCGACTGGTGTAATGTTGTAAACTTGGGTTTGCCCACCCAGGGCAGTGCTACTGACTGTGAAGTGTCTTTAAGCCATTCCTAAAGGTGGTATATTAACATGTTCTTATGCACAGTAAAATTGTAAATGGGTTGATTTATCAATGTCATGCTTATACTGTGCCGGAACAACATAGGGGAACTGCTGCTTTTTGTTATCCTCATCCGGCCTTACTATCGTCATTTCCCTCATACTTCTTTTGTATGTTTGTCACTCTCTAGTGAACTGCTATTTCCGGGGTGCTTTGGTAGTTGAAATAGACTTTATGCTGTTGAAGTTATGAGAGATGAGCAGAGTAAGCCTGATTCCTCGTGTGGACTTCTCTGTTGACATCCACCCCTTGGCGCTCATATGACTTTATGCAGTTGTGAGCACCGTAATACCTTACTAAAACTAAAAGTTTAACTTGGGTTTTGAAACTTCAGGCTGAGGTCCTTCTCTTTTATCCTTTGGTACTCCCACACAGTATAATAATTATAAGATGTTGCAGTTGCCTTGGTTGTTACTGAACCACTTAATGCTGAGTTTGCCACAGTCAAGAACAGAATTTGGCATTGTAGAGAAAAGGAACCATTTTGTCAATGTGCTGAACAGTGGGAATAAACCTCTTTTCTTGCAAGAGCTACTATTGTGTTACATTCTACCTTCAGTTTGGGTTGTTATGTTGTAAGATAGCATTTATATCTAAGCACAAATGCCTACTCCACAGCAAGGTCTATGCGCTTTACAGTCTATATTACCTTATTACCCCAGAAAACCTGATAGCATTCGAAACAATCTCAACTTCGTGGGAACCATACAGTGTAAGTTGCCATGTTACAGGTGCTAAAACACGAACATATCAAGGTCTTTTGCTGTCTTTGGCCGGGTACCCTTTCACACCGGGTGAAGTGAAAGAAATTAGTGTACTTGCCTTTAAATAAACCTTTGTTCTCAAGATAAAAAATAATAGTGTCACGACTGAAGTATCATGGAGCTATTACTTTTCTCCTTTACTTTAGAGGCGTGTTTTTACAGTAACTTTTCTGACACACTGGGGTATTATATACTTCAAATGTCAAAGTTGGGATGAAATACAGTAATTAATACCAAGTTTTCACACTTAAAATAAGCAACTAATAATTTTATTAAGAATATTGTTAGTTTATCAGTCGAGAGTTTAAGCTTTTACTTTTGCATCTCAGTGAAGTGGATCTATTCTCCATTTCAATGTCTTCAGATGTACCTCAGTCAGCCACAAGAGAATGTGTTGAAGCTGCACCTGAGGATGAGTTTGGAGCTCAAGATTATCGAAAAACTTTGGAACTAAAGCTTGATCATGGTTCTAGGCCTTTGTGGATCGTAAGGATCATTCTTTGTTGAATGTTCATTGTATATATTATGAACGTCTTTAAAAAATGTTTTTATGAGTTGTATTCTTAAATTCATTTTAATCTGCTGATAAAGGGAAATTTTTATTCACTGCGTTTCTTTACTTTTGCTTGGAAGTTTGAATTTACTTGTCATTTTGATACAAATCAGGTGTAAAATGAATGCTGCCAGTTTTCGTTTTATTGGTACTCGTTGTAACTCAAGGATGGAGATCCCGTTTTATCTCTAGTAGCTGGTGTTATCCTCAAGAAGTTCTATAGAGAATAATTGCGTACACCTACAGAATGGTACTATTCGGTTGCTTTAAGATAAATGAATGCACTTTTAATAATCTATGATTTCTTTGAGTCAAAGGAAAATATTTTTTCATGTTCAAATTATTCTCATCTCTGTTATTTTTCAAGAGATTTTCATGTGTGCAAATGATTTTCATCCATGTTGTTTTCAAGAATAATTATTTCCACAATTTATATAAATTCTGTTGACATTTTCAGGCTCCGAATGGTCACATCTTTCTGGAGTCGTTCTCCCCAGTTTATCGCCATGCCCATGATTTCCTCATTGCAATCTCAGAGGTGAGATAAAGTTATTATTTGTTATAGTGTTATGTGTTTATAGGTCACAAGACATCTTGAGGTACAGTCAAACCTGTGTAAGACAGCCACCCATTGTCAAGGAGAAAAGTGACCGTATAAGACAGGTGGCCGTCTTAGGCAGGACTGATCAAGATGAAAAAAACAAACCATTCCCATTTGAAGTCCCCATCGAAAGTATTGTTATTGTTTTTGTTGATGTTGGTTTGTATTTTGTTTGATTTTTATTTTGTTGCTGATTTTGCGCAAGGGTGACAATAAAACGAAATGTATTAGATGAGGAAGACCGAGTGCCATGTTAAAACAAACACATGGGTCGCCACCACTTGGAGAACGAGCGACGCTTCTGTAACAAGTTCATGTTGACGTCCATGGTTACTTTGTTACAGACTGGGTAAACAGTGACCACTCATCTCATCGACGATTTGTGTATGAGTTCTGGGCGAAGCTTATGGGTTTTGAGGGATCACATGCTTACCTCACCAGCAGCTGAAAATTGGTAGCTATTGGTCAACAGTGGGAGGGGCCTACGCAACATGATCGGTTGGAGGGACTACTTAACAACAACGACAAGTGACTGGATTATGACGGCTCGCCCACAACGCCAGGGGCCAGTGCACAATTTATGACAAAACGTAATGGAGTCACTTTAAGGTGGCGGAAAACGTAATGGAGTCACTGTAAGGTGGCCGTCTAAGACAGGTGTTATTGCTTAATGTGATAGGGGTTGTCACAGTTGTGTGTTAAAATATGGTGACCGCGGCCGCGTTGGACAGGTGCCCGTTTTACACAGTTAAATTATATAGAAAAAACGCAAGGTGGGAAATGGAAAGTGGCCGTTTGTACAGGTGACCGTCTTATAGAGGTGGCCGTCAGGGCAGGTTCGACTGTATATACATCCGATGTTTGCTGATGTGCTTCTTAATGAAACAAGGTTCCTAAATCTTTTTTACAGGCCCTTCATTCTTGTCACATGTGCTTTTTTTGTATACACTTAACATGCAAAAGTCAAAATGTACACAAAAGAGATAACTATTGTTATGTTAAAGGTGTTAGGTCAGTGTTTGGTTTGGAAAATATATTTGTGTAATAAATGAAGCTGTGTTAGAGAATAAAGTAAATGATTGTATTCACTTACATACCCATGCATGAGTACTTTAAAGATCAACAACGTTTTGTCAGGTTAGGAGGTGAGTGTGTCTCTAGTTATATTGCTATCATAAATACTTTATGCTTACTTAATTATTCATACATATTACTTCTTGTGTTACTTTTCAGCCTGTGTGTAGACCAATTCACGTGCATGAGTACAAGCTTACTGCTTACTCCCTGTACGCTGCAGTCTCTGTGGGTCTGCAGACAAATGATATCATTGAGTACTTGCGGAGACTGAGCAAAACTTCCCTGCCTACTGGAATTGTTGAGTTTATAAAGGTGAGGAGTTTGATATTTGTTAAACTGAATTGCTCTCAATGAATTGCCATTGCACTGTGGGTATATTGTTGTTCAAAGTAACAGTTTTGCTTTCTCAATGGGAAGTTTGGAATAAGCTGCTACAGAAGGTAATGTTTCAATAAAAGAAAAGTTTGTTCCGGAAGGTAATGTTTTAACTAAAGTAATAAGTGTAACCCCCCTCATGTCTTGTTATATCATGATAATCGTAGCCTGCTGTTTCCTGTTATTGTGAAGTCCCACTGTGACGGCGGATGTTGTGCACTTGGTCAAGCTGTTAAAAACAAGGGGCACCACTTTCAATATTTTGCTTTAAAAAAAAAATGTTTTATTATTTTTTTACTACTGACACAGTTTCTCAAGATATTTTGTTGTTTTGATTAGAATTGGCCAGGTTACTTCAATCAAGTATGCAGTCCAATTTTTGCTCCATTAGCCGCAAATTTATATACCTTTGCTTGATGTTATTTGACTTCTACTTTCAAATATCGTTATATATTTGTTATGAAAAGTTTCTACATTCTTTTTTTTCTGTCATTTTATTTTCAGCTGTGTACGCTCAGCTATGGAAAAGTGAAGTTGGTCCTGAAACACAACAGATATTTTGTTGAAAGCCAGTACCCTGTAAGTCATAGTAATAGTGATAATAAATTTCAATTAAACATCACATTTCCACTTAGAAAGTGCTCAATGCGTGTCTTACAATACACCCACCCCCCACAAAACCAAACCAAACCAAGCATCATATTATGATTCCAATAGCGTTTCTCTCTCTCTCTCTGTCTCTCTCTGTCTCTCTCTCTCTCTGTCTCTCTCTCTCTCTCTCTCTCTCTCTCTTGTCCGATTTTCAGAGTAAAAAACGAGCAGTAAAACAAGGAGATTGTAAAATGAAGAAAACATATCAATATATATTCTTGGAATCAAACCCACACTTTCCACAACATTAATATTAGATCTATGTATCAAGTGCGGAGCATAATGTGTCTGCATTGTGTTTTCTATGGATTTACGTGAGTCTAGTATAGTACAGCGTCCAACACCTCATCCTGGACGTAGAGTTATCTGGAAATGCAACCAAGCGTAACGCAACTACAATCAAATAAATTTTCTGTGTAAAACGTTCTATTTTGAAGATTATGAAAACAAAAAAATGTGCTCCCTTAGAGTGCCGAAGATAAGGGATATTACTAGCGAGTAGCATACAAGAAAAGAAAGAATAGAGATAAGGACAACAGGTTTGATAGGACAGAAGGAAGGAGCAAATCATAAGAGAGCACCCGCCAACCACCCAATAATGAGCTTTAATGTGCGTTTTAAATTTCTCCCGAAGACCGACAAAATGGTGCATTCAGTTTAGTTTCTATGAGGCAACAAGCAGGTAAATTTCTTCGCAGAGAAAAGATGATTTTTATGAAACAGATAAAGATAGCACAACAACAGCAGGTAATTTGTTAAAAATAAACTCATAAGAATAATAATAAATGTGATGATAGTAAAAATAGAAAGAAGAAGAAGAAGAAGAAGAAGAAGAAGAAGAAGAAGAAGAAGAAGAAGAA